TGATCAATCACAACCCACCCATACTCTTTGGTTCTATTCGGTAAAGTCACGTAGGTAAAAAATAAAACAACAAAAATCACGACGTTTCGGCCACAACACAAGCGGCCTTCATCAGGTGAAGGGACCAAACTGTCCAGCGGACAGCGTTGGAGTGAAGAAAGCCAAGCGCTGGTCGCCTCCTTTTAAGCTGTGAGGGGGTAAACAGTAAACGCCTTGACAAAGGAAATTAGCATAAAACGTACTACTGACAGAGCTTGGAATTAGCATAAGATGATAATACACCGCCTTGGAAGTTTGGAGTGCCACTACTAGAATAAATATACTGTACCATTGAAAATTAGTTTAATGTTTGGTTCGACTTATAACATCTTTCCAATGGTTGCTTAATTTGAAACCATCTTCTCGGTTGAAATTGTGTCTCATGTTTGTAAATCTGAATTGCCTCGTGGACAAATCTCTGATGATAACCTGTCGGTTTGCAAAGGACCTTGGTTTTATTTATTTTTTACCTACGTGACATTACCGAATAGAACCAGAGAGGAAATGGATCCACAACCCACCCACTTCCAATGCCTTTATTGGAGACACGATACAATTGCAAACGATGCACAAATGTGGCATAGGGCCCCATCTCGACGGAAGCGGCCTCCTGGCTGCCGGTGCTTACAGATTTTTCGCCGCATCTGACAGCTCGAATCCGCTGTAAACAAAACAAATCCAGAAACGTTCTCGATTCGAAATATTTTTTTTAAACCGCTCAGATTTGTTTTTACTATTCCCGTCGTCTCGAGGCCTTTTTCCCACAAAGAACCCCCCCCACCCACCCATCCCCCACCACCGCCCCCAATTTACGTTGTGGAGAATCGTAGCGCCAAACACGGTCTCCCGTGCAAGATACACAAACGTAAATTCCGTGTTGGCGTACACGAGATCACAAGGATACGGCATGACGGGTGTATTGCCGTCGGGGTATTTTTTAACAGCTGAATGTATCATATACCCCCCCCCTCTCTCTCTCTCACCCCCATTATTGCAGAGGAGGAGGAGGGGGGGGGGGAGAGATGGGAAGCGGGGGTCGAGGAGCGTTTTGTAAATCATAACGGATGCTGCACAAGTTGCCCGTGAAGCTTGCGCGAGTCGGGAAAAGCAAACAGCAGCAGCAGAAAAAGGAGAAAAACGCTCTCGCACAAATTGCCAGGAAGAATGAATCACGCCTGATTTACTGCCGGGCGTGCGTTTAATAATGCGCGAACGAACGAGAGAAGAGGCCGGGGCTTGGGTCGTGCCAAGATCGGTAAGACATTAACCGGGGCACGGTGATTGGTGATGTCGCTGGGAAAGCGGCCACCGCTGTGGGGCCCAGCGACTTTTTGTGCAGGCAGAGAGACCTTCGTGATGAACACGTGGGCCGTGAGGTCACGGGGTGGTGCGCGGCACAGTCCTACGAAGTCGGCGTGGGGGGGCACTCGAATGGTCCCCGACGCTGCTGATGAGACTCTGGATGTCGAAACCGGTTAAAGACTTTCCTCAATCCCCTCTGCTGATCGCTGTCTTGCGTTCATGCGAACGAATGTTATGCTCTGTGCAGGAGGCCTACTCCTCCCTAACTCTACTCCGTCACAAATAAACCTTCCCCCTCCCACAGATTTTCTCAAAATGCAGATTCTTTTTTTTTTTCGGCATCTTCAGACGTGGTTTCATTTTTGCACTTTAATTAAAATAGCGTAGTGTTTCTCAACAGCGGGTTGACATTTATTGCACCACCACCACCACCGCCAGGGACCACCATGCATCACCACAAGCAGGCAGCACACACCACCACAGCGAAGTAAAACACACCTTGACTCGACTCCCATGCTAAAAATGAGGATTGCTCTTTCAGCAACAAAAAAACACGGGAAGGGAACAAAAAATGTTGAGTGAAAGAAGCCCACGCGTTTCAATGAAGCACAAAACATTTATTTATTTCCACGAAAACGCCGGTGCACGGACAAGACTGTTTGGCGGATTCGTGTGCCAGACGGGCGTCAGGAGCGAGCGAAGGAGGGTCACAGCCCGGCGTCAAACCTGAAGCTAATAGGGACAGGCATCACTTCTCCCTCTCTCTCTGCAGACAGCAAAATGCAAAAGTTAACAATCCTACCGTTTCCAAACTCTCCTTAAATATGCATCACTCCGAGACGTATCCGCTGGACATTGAGATTGCCGATCGTTTGCCGGGTGGATCACAGGTTAGTTTTCCGAGCCGGCACCGCTGCGATCCTAGATTCGAATGCAGGAGGCTGCCTGTGATTAAGCAAGGGGGGGGGGGGGGGGCGGGGGGGGTTCTCAAGTCGAGTGAGTTGATGGTCTCAGCCCGGTTAGCAACGACTGCAGAAGAATACCGAGAGGTGAAAATTTGGTTTTGCGCTTATTTTGGCGAAATTCCATCTCTTGACAATTAAAATGCTCACACATGCAGAGCGGGCGCGCAATTGCTGTGGTTTTGGAGGTCACGTGAAGGAATCTGAGAGGTGGCTTCGCGATGTCCGCTTCCGTGGGCCACTTCTCTTAATGTGCACGGCTGTGCTGCTCCACGGACGATTCGAGTGGATGCGGGCTCACGGCAAGCCACTGATAGCACAACCAGGGTTGCGATTGGTGACAAATACCGAGAACAATTTCAAGGCACGCTCAACCATAGCGGGCATCTAAAATAACATAAACATCGCGAGAGATAATCGCCCTGTCTGCGACTCTCACGGCACCAGCTGATCGCTGCCCACCCCCCCCCCCCCCCCCCCCCCCCCCCCCCCCCCCCATCGGTGGACGAAGGTTAACTGGCGTTTGAATGTGCATTGTCTGGCCCGTCAATCCAACTGCAGTTTAAGTTCATTTGTCCATTTTCCGAACAATGTTCGGAGGGCTCACCTTTTCTGCCCGCCCGCCCGCCCGCCCGCCTGAGACCTCCCCCCCTCCACTCGCTTCCCTCCTTGTCGAGCAAGTCTTGTTTACAGCGGCACATTCTCGGCGAGCATCTCACGGAGTCGACAATGTCAATAAGCAGACGGGAGCAAGCCGGCTTAATGTCCCGTCGCAAGATAATGGGCAGTGCAACACCGCCGTGCCGGAGCCAACACGGGGGGGGGGGGGGGGGGGGGTGGGAGGGGGCAGCTGCGGAGGGGGGTTCACTGGGCCAGCCACCAGCTTCCAGGCATTGACAACCACCGAGCGCACCAGCGTGACTCCGCTGGCTGGTGGTTTTAATTTATTTTTGAATAAAAACACGCACAGCTGTTGTGTACCGAGTGCCCATCGCAACGACCCAGTGGCCAAGGTTTGCGAGTCAAAAGCGCTCAAAATCGCTCCGAACGCGACTACGCCACTACTGTGCTGTTGGCGCGGGTGACGGATAGCACCGCCTGTTTGTTCATCCGCAGAGGCGTCTCTCTCCTCTCGCGCTCGCTCGGCGTTGTTCACCGTCCGCCGCTTCTCACGGCATATAATCACAATAACACACATTACAACTAATTACTAATCTACAACTCGAAACTAATCATAACCATTGACTGATCACCAATCGATTATATACTTACAATACCCCCCCTTCGCCTCAAATCACTGCACCTAAATGAGTTAAATGATGACGTCACCCTGCTGCTATTTAAGACCGGGAGCAAGTGGAGGGCTTTACCATTCTGGCGAATTGCCCGATGATGCTGGATGTAATTACCAGCGAAACGTCGTACTCAAATTTTAAATGATGTTGATTCACTCTTCAACACACCGGTGGGCTAAAGTAGTGAACTATTTGTCCTTTGTAAACGTGACACATTTTTTACTGTTTGGCCGTGTCGGGTGGTGGAGGGTTACGACACATTTAGAAATAACGCGATCTAACCCAAAAACCTTTATTATGAATAATATTGGTCGCGAAAGCCTACGTGTTAAACTCCTCCCGTGTCCCATTCACGACTAATCGCGCTGCCTGTGGGCGGTTTTCCAATAACGCACCCGAGCGCTCTGTTTTTATTTTATTTTTTATTTTGGCCAACCACGCAGGTGGACAAAACTATCTCTCGCCGCGCTTGTACAACAACAGCTTAATTACATCTTGACTCGAAGCTTTCGTGACTGCAGGAATTCATATTCTTTGGGTCTTTCGGTAAAGTCACGTAGGTAGGTTCAAAGAAAATAATTTAAAAAAATAAAAAATAAACTACGACGTTTCGATCGCAACACAAGCGGTCGTCACCAGAAAAACCCTTTTCCTGATGACGACCGCTTGTGTTGCGGTCGAAACGTCGTGGTTTTTTTTGTTTGTTTTGAACCTATCTACGTGACTTTACCGAAAGACCCAAAGAACAAGCTTTAATTACACTTCCATTACTTGGTGGACGTTGCGGGCGAGCGAGCGAGGACGCCGCCTTAAAAGTTGTCGATGAACCCGGCGATCTCGATCCCGTTGCCAGCCAGGGCCAACGCTGGTGGCGAGCGATACCTGAACTCGTCCCTCCTCACATCGGTATCGCACGCAGCGATGGGGAGACAAAGGCGGTCGACCACCCACCCCCTCGTGTACCGTGCCGGCTTTCATAGGCGCTCGCGACCAGCACTTGCCCCAACAGCCTGTTGAGGCTATATGGGGGGCGGGGGATCTTTGTGTGTCGAAGGATATCCGAACCGGTCCCGGGGTCTCCCACTCCTTTTCGCCAACGTGCACTGACCAGCGTGGTGAAGTATGGAAAAGAAAGAAACAACCCTGCGACTAACACAGGATGGGGGAGTCCTTCATCCGGCAGTGGACTGACAAGTGTCGTGACTTATTATTGTTATTATAATTGTTATTATAATTGTTATTATTGTTTTAATTTAAAGCTTTCGTGACTGCAGGGATTCATATTCTTGGTTCTTTCGGTAAAGTCACGTAGAATTTTATTTTTATATTTTTATTATTTATTGTTTCCCTTCTACGTGACTTTACCGAAAGAACCAAGAGTATGTTATTGTTATTATTGTTGTTGTTATTTTTGTTATTCTGATTGTTATTTACGATCAATAATAAACAAATTTAAAAAACCCACTTAAATCTTGACTTAAAGCTTTCGCGACTACCAAGCCACTTGATTTCCAAACATCGGTTGTTTTTTAATAAATGTATTCTTCTTCTGTTTCTCACGCGGGCGTGTTTTCGGTGTTTCCGAGCCGAGCAATTTTCATTTCTCCGTGTTGTCTTTGGCAACGGCTGGACGTCCAGACGCTGTCCGCATCGTCACGAGCCTTCAAAACACATCGCGCGTGAGTGTAATTAATTAATTAATAACAAACTTCGGGCGCAGGGGGGCCGGGGGGGGCCCGGGGCAACCGCTCCGTGCACCCGACATTAGAACGAGGCGGCGTCAGGAACCAACAACTCAACGAACGGTGTTCTGTACGCTTTACGTGTGTGTTGTTAGCGGGGAGCGGTGGTGTAGCGGTTAGCGCTAAGCTATGAACCCGGCGACCCGGGTTCGATTCCCGCTCACGGCCAACACCAAGTGACGATTATCTGAACCGGTCATGGGCCTCCCCTAAGTCGACTCAGCCTCAAATTAGTACTTGGTGCGGTGTGTAAACATCGCCACTGGGGAGACAATGGCGATCGGGCGTGGTGCTGGCCAGCCACCCCCTCGTGTGCCGTTGCAGGCCTTCATAGATGCTCGCTAACAGCACTTGCCCCTACAGTCTGTTAAGGCTATACGGGGGATCTTTGTCTTTGTTGTTAACAGACAGGAATTTGCATTAGAAAACACACAATCCTTGCATTTTAACACATTTTTCGAACCGGAGTTCTATTCATGGCGACAACATCGGTGAGCGAGCAATGTCCGAACCGGTCTCATGACTGACCAACGTGCTCAAACAATCTCCATTAAGCCCTTCATCCAGCAGTGGATTTAGAAAGCGCCGCTAGAAGAAGAAAAAAAATGCGGAGCCTCCAGAATCCTGGGAGATTGGACTAAACGGACACTTATATTGCGTTCTTGTGTCTTTCGGTAAACTCACGTAGATAGGAGACTTTACCGTAAGACCCAAGAATATGAATTGCTGCAGTCCCGAAAGCTCCAAGTCAAAAGATTTAACTTTATATTGTGCCCTTGCTGCGTTCTCTGTACATCTATTTCTCGCAAAGTCTTCTCCACTCCTCAGCCCCCCCCCACTTTCTCCATCACCCCCCCCCCCGCCCCTTCTCCTCACCCCGTTGCAAACCCATACAATTCACCACCCTGCCAACCATCCTGTTTTGCTGTGACTAATTACAGCACTACATGTCCTGGCAGCAAGGCCCGGTACTTCATAATCACATCATCCCCAATCGAGGCTATTATCCTTCCACACCCACACACGCACGCGCGCGTGCGTGCACACACTCGAAGCATCACCATCATACCGATTCTCACACACATCTGCAACAAACAAAACTTTCCATAAGCTGACAGCCTACCCTCGCACGCGTAAACACGTACACGCGCCCACACGCACGAGCAAGCGCTACCCACGCACACACGCGCACGCGGTTAGCGTGCTCAGAACCACTCGCAAACACGAACACGCAACTTGGGCGCGCGCGCACACTCTGCAGGCACGCCCGTTTCCACACCCACGTGGATCTGAACCCAGGGCACGCTTTGCGGCACTTGTGCTCGTGTCCGAGCCAGATTCGGAGCAATCGTGTCACACAACAGGGCATAGGACACGCGCGAGCACGCACGAGACGGGTTTCCCTCGGCACAAGTTTACATCTGATGTCGGTGCAGATACATCACATTCTTTATGTCACGTCACATTCTTTAACATTTCCGAATTCGCGTTATAATTAAACTTGTTTTTTTTTAAAACATTACACATCCACAAGATATTAAAGAAAATGGAATGCAAATCACTGGACAACTCAAGACTCTTAGCAACGATGATGGATTTCACAATTTTACTGCAAATTTTTTTTCTTTTGCAAAGCTCAACAGACGCCGGTGATTTACGACTGCAACCTCTGAACCTCAAGCAGTCACTCGTCGTGGCTAAGATATGGAAATGTCAGCCGCGAGGATGGATCGCGCTCTCGAGCGCAAGCAAATCGTGATGAATCGCACAGTAACAGGCACTGAAAACTCCCACCTTAATAACGGACGCCGAAATAATAGAACCTGACGGGGCATTTGATAACGTTGATAAATGACACGTGCGAGCTTTTGGCAATGCGTCGGAAAGTGCGCCCGTTTGCTCGATACCATCGCGTCTGAAGATTCTACCGCGCTGTGCGAAACACGGGGGGGGGGGGGGGAGGCGTAACGACGCATGACCTCGTCGGGTGACGTCGGTCTCCTGCGCTTGCACACAAAGGGGGGGTCGACGTTCGTCAACTCGCACGTGTGTCGCTCGTCACGGGTTCACGTCCACCCCTGCGAGCATGTGGCGGCCTCCACATTCAATTGGCCAACACGTTCAAGACAAGGGAGTCGATTCCTCAATCAATCGGCCAACTGCCGCCCTGTGGCAATTCAGGAGTGTCCAGGAATCAAAACATGATATCCCACAAATCTCACTTGCCAGAAAAAAAGTCGTAGGCTCTTGTCGAGTGGGTAAATTAAAGTGAATTATGAAGTTCATTGTGCGACCGTCTCTGGGGAGATGATGGAATGGCAACTATCAGAAGTGGATTATAAAGTGTGCCAATGAAGCGAGCATGGGTAGTCTTAAAACATGTGCGTGGGTTATCAGGATTCCTTTCGAGGATAACTCTTAATTCGTTGAATTTCTGGGCAGGGAGAGCGGTGTTTAAGGCCCCCTAAGAAAAAATGAAAACCGAGCTCTGGTGATTACAGACACTGTGCAGAGAAGCCAACTACATGGCTGACTTGCCATGATTAAATATAGGCGCCCGGGACGCATAACGGCCAATGCACCTGCCATGGAGCGAGTGTGCACAGAGGCAATGGTTCGATCCCTGTGGTTGGTGCATACGTGCACAAGCAAGCCTTTAAATATGAAGTAATAACGCATGTTAAACAGACCTCCGTTCTGTGCCTCTGCATACGAATAAAATATTTCTTGGTCATTGGACTATTGACTTTGAAGACCAATATTTTCAAGCAGAATTTGTTTTCGAAAAGTAAAGTCTGGGCCGGTTTCAACCTTCTGGGTCTCATCAGAAGAGTTTGGCTCGTTTACTCCATGCTACTGGGTTGTCTGCTGTTACTGCTAGGAGCACTCCATCTAAACGTTGGGGCCATGTTCAACACGAAAAGAAATATTGTATACAAACTCATTTGGCGTTGTGGAGCATTGTGGATAATTAAATATACATGCGTGGAACCACAAACGGAGGTCTGATTACACCGTAATCTCTGGATTACGTAACCTTAAATTCCTCCTGCATTTTAAATTGAAAAGGTGGGAGTGGGTCTGAAAGTCTGGAATTCATGTGTCTTCTGGAAGATGCGTTTTAAAATTTGACTTAAAACTTTCGTGATTGCAGGAATTCATATTATTGGTTCTTTCGGTAAAGTCACGTAGCTAGAAAAAATCAAACAAAAATCAATGCAAAAAACCCACGACGTTTAGATCGCAACACAAGCGGTCTTCATCAGGTGGAGAAAAAAAAAAGACCGCTTCAGTTGTGATCTAAACGTCGTGGGGTTTTGCTTATATCTTTATTTTATTATTTTTATTTTCTATCTACGTGACTTCACCGAAAGAACCAAGAAGATGTGTTTTAAGTTTGGTTGTTGAGAATCACCTTCCGGAAGATGGTTCTCCATAGCAATACGGAACCACCCAGAGGGCAGATGAACCCACTAGCCATAGTAGCATTATCTCCAAATTATAGGAGATACGTTTTTTCAAAATTACCCAAAGTTCAGGGTGCATATACGGTCCGCAGCCTCGAAGCCTCTAGAGAATGCGGTGTGTTATTACTCACGGCGGGATGTTAACTATCTCGCCTAGTATGCAGGTCGTGGGCTCGATCCTGACCCTGACGCCTGTATATTTGGAGTTTGCTTGTCTCTCACACGTGGTCACATGGATTATTCTCCGAATAGATTTTAGAGTATTTGGCTGCTATAAATGTCCACGTGATAAGCCACTTCGTAGGGCTATCATATGTGATCGACAGGTCACATCTGAAAAAAAGCTATGTACCTCAGTGGGCCTTACCTGATATAAAAAGAAGAGACATTGCTCCACAACATAGCATCGTGAATGTGTTTAATTAACGAGAGTGGGCCACAACGTGCTTCCTACAATAGCCAAATCGACATTTGGGCACGTAACAATTACAACAACAAAAACCCAAACAAAAAAATAACTCAATGCTCAACAACAGATGCCGAAGTCTCTCGTACTGAAGAGGTTAGCGCATCTCAATGGAATTTCTGCAGGGGCGCTGGAAGGGCGAGTGCGATTAAAAAAACAATTTATTGAGGGGGCATATTTCGCCTCATTGTCGTAGGGCCTTGTGGGAAGTGGTGGTGGCATCGCTTTAAGCAAACGAAAAAAAACGCGAGCAAAACACGCAGCTCCTTCATGTCACGTCGTCACAGCAGATTACGTGCGCACCCAAAGAATTTGGCGAATGCGCTCCTCAGCGCGGTCTGTTGTAAAACGATTCATCAAAACAATAACCGCTTTGATTACGCCAAGCAGACAATGGCGATTAGGCAATGCGAGAGTGCGCGCGCGTGCTTCGTACAAAAGCGAACGGAGCTGGGGGGGGGGGCGAGAAAATCTCGAGCATTCGAAGCCAACGCCGTGATTATTAATATTGCAATTTATTTTTAAAGCCACTGTTGTCCCGTGGGTTTACGAGCTTGTAATCGAGCCTAACCGCAGGGTCCCGGCTCGTAGCATTTCGAACGGTTGGGGAGTTGATCGGCGATGTTTCTTAGCTGCTGTTGAAGTTTGGCGAGTAAGCCAGCGGGCAGCTTCAGGAGTGGCCTGGTGAATGTCTGAAATGCTCACGGCAAATGCTCGCACGGTCGCACAACCGCGTGGTCCGCGGTTTTGAGATTGGTGACTGCACTCGCACTGTCGCTTGCTGTCAATTGTCCGTTGTGTGGGGGCGCGATAGCTGTGATGTTTTTTTTATGCGGTTCAACACGGACCATTGTCTGCGGGGGCAAGACATTCAACCAGGAGGCGGTTCTTCTGTGGGAACCGCGAGTGAGTGGCTCGTTAGGGGACACTGGCATCCGTCCCAGGTCGCTCTCCACCGAGCCCATGGGATTGCACGTGGGCGCGTT